ACTTCGTTAATAGTAATCCATACTATTATATAAAGCGCTAACATCCACCATGTGAGTCAGAGATGTCTATTAAATATCCGGCGTTGTCTACCACCAATGGGAACGCGCCCGGCAGCCAAGATGGGTCGCGCTGATGACGTCATATCATACAGTGCTGCCTCCATATGTTTTCGGTTATGCTCTTCAGCAATGTTTATGAGTTGGCACCAAAGCAGCGAAATTAACACCACGGGAACTGTCAGCGGCTAAATTGATTAAGCTGTCCCACTGACTGTAATAGCTTCATTTCGAAAATCATCGAAAGTTGGTTAAATCGTTTGTACATTATCTCACCACCATTATCTTCTTTTTTTTGGCATCTCGCTTTTTTATTTCTACTATGGAGCGTTTAATTTGGAGTGCAGCATAAGTTTTTCAAAAAAGTTGGGTATTTTAGCAAAATACTGCATCCTTCCATACTTCATTTTTCGAGTGCTTAGTATGTTTCCTCACCGTAAAACAGTTGCGCCAAATCTTCAATTAATCTGTCCTTTTGATTTTTCTGCTAACATATCTCAGCAAGGAAGTTGAAGTTCTTCATGAAATGCTTAGCGTTTAGTTATTATTTTAGACAAACTGCACTAAATCTGTTTGTGGAGGTTTCTCGCAAACTTTACTTTGGACATCTCTGCCTACGATTTTTTTTGAATGAGCATTTCGTTTGAAGTGCCAACAGCAAAGGCAATTCCTTAGTTTCTTCTCAATTCACATGCAAAGATGTTTGTTGAAGTTGATGAACTTTGAAAATCTTTGACTCCATCGAGTTGACATCTCATTACTGTGTAAACCTTTTCGATAGTTGCCAAGATTTGTACGAAACACTATCTTTGAACGAATTCAGCGTGGTCATGCGAACTGTCTTGAAACTCGATGAAAGCTGGATGCAAAAATTTTCTTCAGCTAGGAAAAAGTAAAAAAGAAACCATTTTCGAATTCCCGAGATTTCCTACAAACATTAAAAATTCGAAGAGTAAAGTAGAATAATATCAATGCCATCGTGATTGATTTTATTAGGACTAAATACTGCATGAATCTGCCGTTTATATCAGCTACGAATTAGAGACAAGGTGGCATGCACGTTGACTTTACATAAACCAAAGCTTTACTAACCTATGCGCAGCTTTGCCAAAATACTGCACAACCTCAAAATTGCTTAAGGAAGAGAGGTCTGCTTAGGTGAACAGCTTGAAGCATGAACACCTTTATGTAGGTCCCTTCAAGAATTTGAGTTTGCTCAATAAGATAACCTGAAAATTGAGTGGATTTTGGAGCCTACGGATGAATTGCAAGAATGCTAGACAGTTTGGGAACTTCATAAAACGTGAACGAGAGTTTTGATAGTGCAATTTTTTGAAGTGGAAGAGGAAGTATGACGCTTTCAAGAAAGGATACTTTGTGAAAAGAAAGAGGGATGTTCGAATTTGGAAAACTCTAGATTTGGTAGTTTTAATATTGGCTACATATTTACAAGAATATCACGAATTTTCTTGCTAATAGTTTCGGGAAGCGATAAAAATAGTCTGATTAGAGCGGCGGAGATTCTAAAGCAGTTTGGAGGGTCGCCGCTTAATGTGGGAAACAGGGCCCCGGGTGGGAAGAGCACGTGGTCGGGATTACTTTGTCGGGTTTGTGATGGGCCCAATCACAAAAAATTTTTTACGTTACGTTTTTTTTACGCGTGAAAGTTTGAGAGCATACAAAAGTCTTCGCAGGCTACGAATCTTCAAAAGTTTTGACTTTCAGTCACATTCCCGCTTCACGCGCACAGCCAGTCCAAAGCGCCGCGAAGCGGCGCTTTGAACTGGTCTTAAATATAAAGCTGAATGTCTGTTTGTCTGTCTGTATGTCTGTCTGTATGTCTGTCTGTCTGTACGTATGTTCCGAATAGAAAATTCCATTTCTGAACCGATCGGGACCAAACTTGGCACACATACACTTTGGGCCCCGGCGGGTGTCATAGTCTACTTTTCGTCATCGATTGATATCGATTTTATCGATTTTTTGCAAAATTTGAGCTACGGGCTGGGAGTTGGCACAGGGGGGTAATCGAGCATCAGCATGTTCGATTTCACCCCTCTGCCAAATTCCAGCCCCCTAGCTCAAATTTTGCAAAAAATCGATAAAATCGACATCGATCGATAGCGAAAAGTGGACTGTGACACCCGCCGGGGCCCGAAGTGTATGTGTGTCAAGTTTGGTCCGGATCGGTTAAGAAATGGAATTTTCTATTTGGAACATACGGCGGAGCCGGGTAAGCCAGCTAGTCCTTCATAAAATCACTCACCCGAAAAGCAAGCGGCAATTACAAAAGTTTGTAGGGAAGCCTAAAAACAAGATACGAACTGCAAAAACCATCACAAGACACAATAGGAAGAAAATGCAAAGGGAGCAATTAAATTTAACTTGAAGAGCGGAAACGAAGCCAAAAATGGGCGCAGTTCAAATCGCGCGATCTGTTGCGCTTGATTTGAATGCGTACATACGAAGTCGCGAGTAAAGCAGAAATCCCGACATATGTAATGAATTTTTCCGCCTTGTTTCCGGCACCGCCATTGACCCGAAAATCGCGACAAAAGCGGTTGTGCAGCAGCAGTACCTTTTTTCGCTTCCGTTTTGTGGGCGGATTTACTGCGCGAGCTACGGCCTGCCCCAATCGGAATCAGGCCGAACCGTTGAGGTGAACTGCGCGCTTGCAACGCTAGGGGTCCGCGCCGCATATGCGCACTGTCAGAGAGAACAGAGATTCAAAAGAAGGCATACTAGGCCCTAACGCAAAACCCTAGCAATGCAGACTCCCGCAATGTCAATTCTGGCGTGATTAAGATTGGGGTAGACTGTTGCCAGAAATGTCTGAAGAGGTTGCCTTCAACTCGTTTATTTGTTTGCGTCCGATGACAGGAGTCGGGCTCTGTCTCCTACCGATCGCTGACACAGCGCTGACCAATCAGAGGTGCGCACTAATTAGGCTGAAAGCGAGGCGAGCGGTGCAGAAGGGCTGTCTCCTATCGTAAAACTTTATGGCAATTTACTCTATCTTTCATCGAAAAAAATAGTAGCTTGTGCTCGTTCGTTATAGCTTTCACGAAGTACAATAATAATTTAGCTTGGAGTTTTGCAGATAAGACTGCTGATCTGCGATGGATTACAGAACCAAAATGGGCCATGTCCCAAATGGCACCTTAAAGGCAGTGTCCAGGCTAAAGCCAATCCCCTCCGATTAGCGGTCCTGAATGTAAGCCCCAGAAAAGGGGCATCTGCGTTGGTCCGGTCTTTTAACGTTGTCTCTGAATGGAGATAAGGGGCCTGAAAGTCCCTGGCTGGGCGGAATCTGATATCAGATTTGCTCGTTCGTTATAGCTTTCACGAAGTACAATAATAATTTAGCTTGGAGTTTTGCAGATAAGACTGCTGATCTGCGATGGATTACAGAACCAAAATGGGCCATGTCGCAAATGGCACCTTAAAGGCAGTGTCCAGGCTAAAGCTAACCCCCTCCGATTAGCGGTCCTGAATGTAAGCCCCAGAAAAGGGGCATCTGCGTTGGTCCGGTCTTCTAACGTTGTCTCTGAATAAAGATAAGGGGCCTGAAAGTCCCTGGCTGGGCAGAATCTGATATCAGATTCCGCCCACCAGGGACTGCTCACTACCTTGTCAATACGTGCCTCCCGACACGTATTGACAAGGTGGTGAGAGAAGCCGCGCACTGCACACTGCAATGCAACTGCATCATGCAGTTGCAGCTCCTTCCCGTTGGCCTGCCGACGGAGACGAGCAATTCGAAGCTCATCCGCGGCCTCAAGACTGGGTCCCCAAGAATCGGGCTTTTTGTGAATTTTAGAGAGTTTGAAGTTCGGAACTGTGATCAGGGCCACGGAAAGGCCCCAGAATGACAAAAACATGGAGGTTAAATTCTGGGTGGACGCTGCCTTTAAGAAGCACGATAAAATTTTTCTGTTTAGCCTCTCACTGCGATCGGTGTGAAATGGTCGAAATAATCGGTTTTTACCAAATTTGGCAAGTATGAATTGAAGCGAGGCGATTGACACTAAGCTCAAACCAAAATTCGATTGGCGTTATCTACTCAATGTTTCAGTGGAGGACTAAAAGCAGACAAAGGGTATGTGGAGCATGATGGTGACGAAAAAACAATTAACATTTACCAGTCAACCTTCTCAGGCACTCGCTGTTGACTCGCGCAGCCCAAAGTTTTGTGTAAGCGCTGAATGAAGGCGCGACACAAGTAATCGGCCTCGCGACGAAATGCCTAGACAGCATTATGTGTCGGAACATTGCTGCCCGAGACAACGCTTTGACGCGACCCGCATCTTGCAGGAAATACGCGGCAGCTCGAGCGCGACACATCCTGATGTCCGGACGCAACTGGAGCGCGTTATCCCGCAGTAGTAATTTCGCTATATCCCTACTTGCAGTACATATATATATGTATATGAATTCTACAAAGTCTAAACTAACCAATTTATTACTTCTAAAATGACATAAGGATTGATTGGAAACTTCATTAGCACATAGTGAATTTACTTCAGTCTTAGGAACATTTCAATGTCCGAGTTATGTTCAATGTAGGTACGCAAGAAAATCAAATAAGAACTGAGGAGTCAAACTACTATGTTCACTATCTTAAAGCTTCACGACATGGAGATACATGATGAGATAGAAGTGTACATGGTAACCGTGATGGGCGACAAAATTGCTCCAAAGTGATTCGAGTTCATTTTCTGCGTCTCGAGTTCGTTTTTTTCTGAAATAAGGATGCCATTTTGAGGCTGATGTGCATAGAAAGGATGTATATATTACCGCCGGGGGGGGGGACGAGTTCGTTCTTTTCGGGATTGAACGAATAAGCGCGCAGGTCTCCCCTGAATTGAAGATATATATACATATATATATATATATATGTGTATATTATACGGGTAAGGGTAAGGGGAAGGGTACATGAGAGCCTATAATGCTCTTCCAATCGCTGTACGAACAATTTCTTTCCAAGTGATTTTGGCTTTCACCATGCTATCAAACCTCTTCGCGCGTTCATCATCATTCTCTTCTAGGGTACGCCAGTAACTGAAAGGACAACAATCAGGGAGCTCTAAAAGAATGTTTTGCTATACCTGTTAGCATATGTTGCGCATTCATAGGCACTTAGAAGAAGTTCATCTGCGAACAAGCCAAAAGCGTCTAATACGAAGTCTAAAAAACCAGTTTTAGTACACTCTACCAGGGTGGGAAGTGATTACCCACTGGTCAGGAAAACTATCATGGGTTTTGGGAAGTCAAGCAGATGAGGATTTCGACCTTGCCTTCCAAACTGGCGGCAAGCGAAATGTTGTATTTCATGAGGTGGCTCGCAAGCCTGTGATTCATTTTGTTAGAAGAATGGACCAAACAAACAGCGCGACTTACATGGCGAAGATAAAATCTCAGAAACTCCACCATCGTCAAAAAATGGTTTCCGCGACTGGAGCGCGCAAGGGGACTCCATCTTTCTAAAATTTCAATCATATCCACTTCCTAAAAAACAATCGAAGCTGCCAGTCGATTGACATAGATTGAGTAACCTTGAAGGGTGAATTCGCATCAAGCTTCCACGTCTTTGTGATGTTCGATCTTTTGAATTCGAGCAGCAGCATTCGATGTAGTCTAAAAACGTGGTATTTGGTGGGATGGATGGAATGTACGAACTTGAAAATAGGTAGAAAAAAAACCTGGAATGATGCAATATGAGATGAGATTTGAAATGCGAGTCGATATCGCGAAACTGCTCGCTGAGTCACTCATCATCTCCCGATTTCCTTTCGCGACCATTTGCAAAAACTGTCAAAATATTGTCTCGCGCATGTCTACGCCCTTTCCCGCGAATCCCTCAAAAGGGGGCGGATCTCCGGCGCGAGTCAACAGCGAGTGTCTGAGTTGTACTGATTTAATGATTGTTCCATCTTGTGAATCGTCCCCTTAACAGATCGTGCTACCCTCAGGGCCCGGCACGCGTTGGTTTGGAGCCTTTTGGGAAACGAAGTCCCCCATGACTTCGTGGAAATTTACGAAGTCCCTCTTAACGTAAAATCAGTAGGATAACCCTTATTTAATCAAAATAACAATAAAAAAGCGAAAAAAGTGCATTTTGAGATATCCAATATAACAAAAAAGCAAAAAAAAACCAATTCGGTTGATCAAAGGCTCTGCCATTGGGTATGGTACCGTTTTAGTGCTCAGAATTTCGAAAACCTCCTAGGCCGACCAAATCTGTGGCCTCAACAATCTGATTATGCATTTTTCGCCACATAGTTTAAAGGACACCGCATGTGATTGGAGCGCGATACTTATCAATGCCTAGCTTTACACTACTTTTGGCTCAAAAAAAGAGGAGAGCAATGGTTTGATTTTCTCTCTTCACTACATGATACATTTTTGGCCGTTATAATCGTCCAAATGAAAAAGATCCGAAACTTATGTAAACTCTCCGAGATTTATGCTCCGAACCAACCCAGTTGTTTTGGTGGTTGGTCTAGAAACCAACAAATTCGGGAACGAGTATTAGGACACATAAGTTTTTGGAACTTTTTACATAACATAGTTTGGGGTAATATTGTATACACCTAGCCCAAATTCGAAGCCATGTGATTGTTTGTGCGCTGTAAACAAAATTTGTTTGTTTGAGTCTTGCGTTTGAATTTCGCGCGCTTGCGGAAGAACACGTTCAACTCATAAAAGCTGACATGTTCGTCGTTTTTTTGGCGCTTCCCCTAGGACCCTATTAAAACGATATCCCCGTTGCCTCTTACTTCAAAAACGAAGTCTAGTTTGACCTCGAACCATCTGTGCCGGGCCCTGGCTACCCTTGTGGCGTCGCGGACGTGCCACGTGTGACTAACACATTGGCAGCAACACGTTGCCAACATGCAGCAACGTTGGCGTGGCCAAAATGTTCTGCCAACATGTTGGGGCATGTTGCAAACATGTTGTTGCCAGGTTGCCAACATGTTAGCAGCACGTGGTAGGTCTGAGACGCAGACCAAGGGTAGCACGATCCGTGGAGGGGACTATAAGTTACTAAATGTTGCCGCGTGGAGGCGGCAGAGCGGTTGGTTATACCTTACAGAAGACAGACACGTACCCCAATTCTATCTTCACTATCTGCTCTGCGCTTGCACCTCTGAACGTCCAGTCGTGATTGTGTTTCGGAGAAAACAATATAGCAGGATCTAGATAAAATTTAGCAGTAGTCCCTCTAGTGCGCAGGTAGAGCGGTGATGAGGGTGATAATGTTAACGGAGTATTTATTGCTTAACACACTTACCCTAATTTCACGCTTATAAGCACGCGCGTATAGCACCTTTCTCGGTTGTTCAAGCGGACCGCTCAGCCGTCTTGCTGTGTTTCAGAAAACGAAATTTATGCCGCAGGATACTGCAGTATAGCACTGTAAATAGTTATTTGGCCGCGAAGTCTTTCAGCTTGTCTGTGCTGTTCGATTTTAGAAGAAATCCCCTGCGTTCTATACGAGTGAAATTAGGGTACAAGCCATTTGTCGAGGACTGCCATTTCGAACCAAAGCATATTTCGCAGTTTTGCGTGATATTTTCTGGCCATTAATGGGTCCTATGGTCTAAAGCGCTACACGAGAAGTATACCATGAAATGTATACTGTAACTCTTGTTTATTTCACCCAAAAAAATTTCATTCGTAAACTAGCAAAATCAAAAACTTCAGAAACCCTATGATCTGGGCGGATCTCAATTATTTTAATCCAGTTACGCGTTTTATTTTTCACCCGAAAAGCGCTCATAATCCGGCTTCAGGAGCTCACAGGAAATAGCGGCAAAATAGAAATTAGCGTTCACTGCTATTTCATACCAAAGAATTTTGTATCAATTAATTGCTATTATATATATATTTTTTGAAAACGTGCTGAAGCTGTCGCTAAGAAAGTGGCTATGATCGAGTCTTTCAAAAATTTTCACCTTTTATGTTTTCTTCGAAGTTAAAGTGGTGATTCAGTGTGCCGATTGTTCTGCTCAGCCGTCCAAACTGTCGTGTCCAAACACCAGCGTCGAGTAACTGCTTTATCGGATGCGAAGTCACACAAAGAATAAGGATAAGAATGAGCATTACCCAAAATGGGCAATGAGCAAAGCATACGTAAACAAAACATTCAAACTACATAAACACATTTCTATACTACAGTGACGTATGCTGGTCTCTCTTGATCGCGATCCGCGATAGAAGTGAATGAGCACTAACGAATAGTGAATGCTTGCGAACTTCGCCTACTTGTGGAACAATGTACAAGATTGTATGTGACCTTTCCAGATTTTTAAATTTTTGGTTTTCCACGCAGTGATATTAATCTTAGAAGTAAATTCTTGAGCCTTCCCATTTACCTGAGATTGCTGCATATAACAAACAGATGTAACGAATGAGATCCTAAACATCAAAATTACCTGTCACTAAATCGTAAAGCGTTTTTATCGCCTCAATTTTCTGACCGTATTGTCCTCGGCTCCATTTGGGTGAAAAAACACTTCCAAATAAATAAAATAGCTTATAGAACTGTAGCTTTGCGACCCTTTTGCACATCTAAAGACAAGATCTATCATTCGTGAAACTCTGATTTCCAGCGACGATTATGATACTCTTTACATAGCAGAGCATCTTCCATATAAAAAAAACCATTGGATTTCACTTACTTCGGCAAGAAGGAAAGACGTCAGATCATAAAAAACGCAAAACCAAATTAGAGACTGTCTATTCCCCTCGCCTATGAACAGCAACATCATGTTTTTGAGAATTTCTGAGTCACTACTACTAAATGAGTTAACTCCAGTGCTCCATATGAGCGGCAATCACTCATGCGATATCAAAGCTCGTAGGTTACTGCCCTTCACTCTTTGCACTTTTGCTGCTTTTTGATCTGCATTGTCCAGCACACTTCCATATGACTACTTGGTTGTCAACTGCATTGCCTATTCACGTTGTCCTGATATATCCAAAGCTCAAAGTGGCTGCCTTTCACTCTTTGCACTTTTGCTGCTTTTTGATCTGCATTGTCCAGCACACTTCCACATGACTACTTGGTTGTCAACTGCATTGCCTGTTATTGTCCTGCTCGTAGTTCTGACTAAATATGTTCAGCTCTCTAGGATTCATATCACATGAATTTATATCTTAAACTTACTTACATCACTATGCAACATAGTTCAACGCTGAGGAGCTACTTTGTATTTTACAAATCAAAGATAAGTGCACTGCATTTTCGGCTATTCTTGTGGATGACACAGTCTGTTTCAAGCACAGTCTTGCCCTATGTAATGTTAGGAGCGTTAAAAATGTGAATTTACCTATGGCGTGCTGAATTTCTGAGAGGTTTTTTAAGATTTCATTCAACTTCTAAGGGTTGGGCCAGACTGCGCGGCGTACGCGACGTACGCAGCGTACGCCGCGTGTGCTCCTATGATGAAATATACCGAGCGTACGCTGCGTACGCCGCGTACGCCGCTTCCCCGCGAAGTCTGGCTCAACCCTAAGACTCAGTAATCAACATCAAAAATTCTTACTTTACTCGCACTCTGTAATCAATATCAAAAATAATCTGAGCCTTTTGTTGTTCCCGCAGTTACGTAATATAAAGCTTAATGTCTGTCTGTCTATATGTATATATACATATTTCTCATATTTTGTGAAAGCAACTTTTTTTGTTAAGGAAAGCCTTCAAACTGCCTTGGCGATTGCCAAGACCGAGGCACGCAGATAGTCGTCATCAAATCCGTCCCACGCCTTACGGACATAGTCCCTATTGCATAGAAATTGTGCGGTATGATAGAGCAAGCTTCCACTACAACATGCTGTAAAGAAATTTTTTTTGTAAAACTCAGGATCTGAAATTATAAAAATTATAATGCAGGCATGCGTAGACCTCACGCTGGAGTTTTGAATCAATAGCGAAGAATCAACACAGAGAATCGGCCACAATGTGTTTTGAAACCAAGTTGGTCATTCAAGTTGAACTAAAATCTTATATAAAGACATACGGAGAGAATACTACTTTAGATCCAGTGACTGCTTCACCAGTACAGATTTAAAATCAATTTTAAGGGCACAGTGGCCGTGGCACTATGCCCAAATTTCTATTTTTTTCGCCTGTCTCGATGATTTTTCAGTGTAGTTACTATAGCGAATTGTGCAAAGCTCCTCTATAGTGGCCACTAGCTGGCTTACCCTTCTCCGCCCGGCCCTGTCAAAACACTATGATAACGCTCCCATCCCTATCCCTGTACAACCTTCCCTGTGCCCACTTCTACATACCAACTCCAACTCCCTATTCCCACTGTGTTAGTTATCAGCATGCTCACTTATCCCTGTGCGAATTTTCAGCCCCGTGGCTCAAGGTTTACAAAAAAATCGATAAAATCGAAAAATAACGGATAATTTCAAGAACTAATATTCCGATAACTAATAACTCGCAATCAACATGCTCGATCACCCCCCCCCCCCGTGCTAGCTCCCAGCCCCGCAGATCAATTTACAAAAAATCGATAAAATTGATGCCGATCGATGGCAAAAAGTGAAGTAAAGTGAAGTGTGAAGTGAATGAAGTGTATGTGTAAAATTTTGGTCCGGATCGGTTCAGAAA